CAGGCTTTGGCCTGACTTTGGGACTTGAACCTATATGGGATACGATATGCATAGTAAAGACTAACTTTATTTATTCAATTTCAAGGGTAAGATCGGTGTAGGAATATGTTATGATATTAGATTCCCGGAGATGGCCATGATCGCCGCTCGAAAAGGTTATTAAAGCTTTTATTGATATTTGGGTTTTGTTATGAAAGTATTGATCATGTGGTTTCTACGCATTTTAGGTTGTATTGCAATGGTTTACCCAGGTGCTTTTAACCTTACCACTGGACCTTTGCACTGGGAGCGTAAGTCTGAATGCTAGAATTTATGCTCTACTATTTCTTATCTGATTATATCTAACTTAATTAAATTCTTTGATGTTTATGGGGTATAGTTCTTCAAAGAGCTAGAGCCGTAGATAATCAAGTAATAAGTGATATCATCACATTATAACATCGTTGGAAAGAGCAAATTGTTACTAACCTTATTGAATCAAGTTTTACGTGGCTACATGTTCTCCTGCTCGAGACACAGAAGCATCTTATATTGCATGGGGATATTCCACTATTGTGGATCCAAAGTAAGTGGTTTTGTTTTAAATTTTTATTAGGATTATTCTAAATAGGATTTTTTTAGTGGTCAGATTATCGCGACGACGGAACATAAAGAGGATATTATTTACGCTGACATAGGTATATTCTTCGATCGACTTATCAGTTGAGAAGTCCAATAAAGATATTCATGTGACTTCATCTTTGCATATTTCGCAGATCTAGAATATTTGAAAACAGTTCGACAATCTATTCCGATATACAACCAAAGACGATTTGATTTATATCCTAATGTCGCAGAAAATTCCAATAAATAGATGCTGTGGTATGCATTTTTTCCGTGTAAAAATTCTCTTAAGATTTTTGATTTTCTATTAGGGATTTTTTTACCCTAAATTTTTCGAAAATTTATTTTATGACGTTTTAACCCTTAAACCAACCTTGGAATTTAATTTTGACACGAGGCAAGCTAAAAATGGAATTATTACCGTAGACCGCTGCATACAATCCCCCCTGAATATCTCATCCCGATTTTAATAGTACTTTGCTTTTTTTTTACCAAGTAACTTTTTTAGGTAGATTAATACCCAGGGTACTGTATGCAGTGGTCTACGCTAGTTCATCCTTAATAAATTTCTGAAATAGCATATTTTTTCGAGATTTTACAAAAATCATTCTTTTTATATGATTACCTGATGATACAAGGTTCGACGTAATTCTTCGATGATGTTAAAGAAAGTGGATGCTTATTTCATTTCCTTGATGGTAGTCATAAGGTTGGGGAGCTTATCGCCAATAATTTCCATTTCATGTTACTGTGTAAAGCTTTATTTAGAGATAATTCAAAACAATCTTATTTTATATTTAATTCTATTTCGCTAATTCAGATGAATTTGTTTATATGTTTTGTTATATGAGGAGTTACGTCTTGTAATGATCCTGAAATAGCTCGTCTATTTTATTAACCTCAACCCTTTTTAATAAAAATTACAAAAAGAAAAAAAAAGCCCATTAATAAAAAACAAATTAAAGTTTGTACATCAAAATTTTAAATCTAATGTAATCTATAATACAGTCAAACATTTGGAAATCGGCATTG